TGTAGGTTTACACTTTGGTAAGAATGAGCTTTAGCAGCTTCTTCTTCATCTTGATAAGATGAGATACATTGAGAAAATAAAACATCCTGAAATTCATTTAGTACTATATAAAAGGAAGATTGGGGCGTAATTTGCAAATAAAGCTTTTATAGCTTGTTCATATTATGCTTAATGTTTCAAAATGAATCATTGTTTATGTGTAAAACATAGTGGGTGGCTATAATTTTGCCTGGATCCCACTCTGAAAAAAATAAACTGGCTTGAGGAAACTTACCAAGTATTGTTCTCCTAACACTGCAGATGATGTACGTGCTGTGTAACTTGCTTTGATACTCCCAGAGGAAAGTTGGTAAATACCAATTATTCATTGGACTTTTTCTGTCTCTAAGGGGAAGCCATCCCAATCTATGCAGAAATTGAGAACTGCTCTTCTCGTTTGATTGTTCCAAAAGCTGCCATTTTCCAAACACAAACTTACCTGGCCAGTGGGAAGACAAAAACCTTCCGTCAGATGGTTGCCAATGTCCGAGGAAACCACATTGCCTCTGGGAGTACAGATACCTGGAATGGGAAAACTCTGAAAATCCCACCTGTATCCCCATCTATACTTGACTGCTGCATTATTAGAGTAGAATATTCATTAGCTGTAAGTATTGGGTTTTCAAATGTACAAATTTTAGATGCTGCATTCAATTGGGAACAGAAGAATTTACTGAGTAGCTGTTGGGTTTTTAACTTGGGAGCTACAATAAATACAAATCTAGAGAAAGGTGTCCCAGCCCCTGGTGGGGGGTTAGACCTAGATGATCTTTAAGATCCCCTCTAACCCAAACCATTCTATGACTCTACAAAAAATAAATATCATAAACCACATACATGAGAGACTGAAGGTCATAAAGAGATTCTGAGATGGAAAGATGGGAATAATGTGGAAAAGGGAAAACTGTTTCTGAGGAAGAAGCAGCTTAGTTTCAGACATGCAGGGATTGTTTTGGGAAAGCATTTCAAGCTGAATGGGGTCCTTAAGTGATTCTTTCCAGAAATGGGAAGATAAGACTGAAAGTCAAGTGCATAATTATGTTTGTCAAGATAGTTTGTATTTTTTAATGTCACTTAGAGACAAGTTACAGAAAGAATGAAACTGCTGAAAAATAAGGAAAGCTGCCAGGGTATTAGCTAAGCATATCTGGGATGACAAAGCTCTTAGTTTTTAAATTTGCAGTGTAGGGAGTAGGGCAGCTTTTAAGAGCAGCATTCAATGGGGTCTCATGATGTTTTTTTCTTCTGTTTGGGGGTTGTCACATAGGTGTATATCCATATTCCTGGTGCTAAGAAATTGATGATTGAAATGCCTGTGGTGATTGGCACTATTCCATGTATTGGATTTTCAAGCAGAAACTCCAGCATTACCAGCCAGTTTAGTATGGATATGAGTTGGCTGGCATTGACCATGCCTGAACAGCCTGAAGGTAATAAATACATATTGAACTGTCTCTACTCCAGCACAGCACTGTCTGCAGCAGATGGGTGCAGTGCCACTTTAAGGGCACTGCCAGGGATGTCGGCAATGGAAATCTGACTCACTAAGTTCTTAAATTCAGATCCAAAATGATTGGAGAGGTTACCCCAACTCCAGCCTTCCAGAAGTCTCTGTGTACCCCATCTGACTGAAACAACAAATTTCTGATGTAATCTGCTCATTACTGGTTATATCTTGATACAACACAAGTTTGCTGCTGGAGTTATCCTAAAAGTACAGCACTCTCTGTATTCCTGCTGAATCACCTGAGTTTACTGAAAACATAATTTTAGTTACAGTATTTATGTGTTCAGTGCACTTCCAACATAGTTTTTATGTAGTCCTGGCTATACTGTAATGCAGATGTTCTTGCTGTGAGTGAGTGAATAGTTTGAAATGTGACAGAAGCATCTCTTGTGTTTCAGCACCACCAAATTATGCTGATGTAGTGTCTGAGGAAGAGTTTTCCAGACATGTTCCTGCTTATCCACCTCCCATTGACTGTGAGGAACAGTTGTGTTGTCCTGTCTTTGCTTACATACAAGAGTTCCGGTTTCAGCCTCCACCTCTTTATTCAGAGGTAAGAAAATAAATAGCAGGTGGTGTTTTTATTGTCAGATGGCAGAAAAAACCCAAACACATACCTAAATGCAGGAATTGCAGGCAGTAATTGTTGTCTTTCTTCTCTCCTTAGATTGATCCACATCCAACTGATGTAGAAGAAGTTCAGCCCGTTTCATTCATGCTCTGAGGATTTGTAATGCATCATTGTGATGAATGTCTTAATCTTTCTGCTGCTTAAGCTGGTAGTGCAGCTAAAAAGGAAACAGTTTTCTTTTTCCAAACTTCAGTCTGTGTACGAGAAAGGCAAAGGAAAATGGAGAAGGAGGTATGAGCACGTTTGGTGATAAAGAGAACCTGCTGGATTAGTCTGCACAAAGGATAACAGGGGAGCAGCTGAGCTTGGGATACTTGAGAATTACCTGAAAACACTGAAAAGAAAATGCATCAATGAAATACTGAATGTTTTCCAAATAGTGGATACACTACACAAAGTACGAGGAGATGATGTGTGGATCTTCTGAAGAGAAAAGAATTTCTATTTTGTTTGCAATGCTCTGGAAGAATGTACATAGCAATGTCAAGAACTCCTGTAGTAGAACAGAATGTGGGGTAAGAAAACATTTCCAAAAGATCCCAGCGGTCAAGGGGCTTCAGCTTGGCACTGTCTGCATCCAGAAAAGGAACACTGCTGCATCACAGAGCGTCACACTGGCTGGGAAGCTGCCCTTCTCACGACTGCCAAGTGGTACTATTTCCTCATTCATGATGGTCCTGAGGACACCGTGATGACAGAATGGCTATTACACAATATTGCAAAGGCAACCATTTCCTGAGTGCAAGACACAAGTGTGGAACAAACAGTAAACTTTGAGATGAGCTTATGCACTATGCTTTCTTTCAAGGGATTTCTTAAGGGAATTATTCTAACCTCTTCTACTGTGAGTTCTTCTTCTGCATCTTAAGCCTATGGATAGCATGATAAGGGGAAGCATGGCAAGGGAGAAACCTTTTGCCAGCAGCAGGTATACTTAGCAAAAAGGACAATATTTATTTATTCAAAAGCCTTTATAAGCCTACCTCTGTTTTGGATATTTACTTATGGTCAGATTTGAGACCAAAAAAAAGTCTTGTTAAAGCTCCAGTATACTTCAAGGTTCTAAAAGGGACCCTAAATGGTTTCTGTGGTTAGTGAATGAGATAAGAGGTGTAAATATACCCAGAATAGACATAGCTTATAACTGAAGTGAAAGCAGACATCAGGGGAATAAAGTTCTCTGGTAATGGCACAAAGCTTTTCATTACTCCTGCATTTTTGTCTAAAGATCTATTGTCAGGGGCTGCACTGGTCATTTGCTATCCATACTATATTTGTTGGTGTGTTTCATTGTTTGTTTTTGCTGTTTAATTTTGTTTTGGTGCAATATTTTAATGTTTTCTTCCTCAGGTCATTTAGAACAGTGAGAGTTTGTTGCTGCTAAGAGTGAAGGCACAGCATTTACTTGCCCTTCTGCTGCCTTCATTTAAAAGTAGAATGTTTGCTTCCTGCCAGCCATCAATTGGGAACAGTAAACAATCACCAACAGATCACTTACAGGAGCAGAAAACAGCATTGTCAACATGCACGTTTACAGTCCTGTCTGAAATACAGGGGATTTTGGACTACTAGAAACACTCCATATGTCTTACAGAAGGGTTTGGGGTTAAAACCCGGTGCTTCATGTGGTAAAACAGTGTACTTTCTGATAATTACAAAAATAGCAATTCTGTTTCCTTCATTCCATCAATAACTGCAGTTTAAACAAAGTCTGAGTGATTTTTTATGAAATCTGTCTTCACTTAAACAGGGATTTTTCTACAGGCATACACGGATATATATTTTTAGTCTTCTTTTAGTTTAACTTCCTTACATTGTCTAATTTCTAGCACTTCACCTCAAATCCCTTTTGCATCAGTGCGAGAGACAGACTGGTGGAGATTGACATTTCCAAACTGCAGTTACTCCTTTCATTTGCAATATTTAGTATTGTTTTCTATAGCAAATGCAGCTTTAACCAAAATTTGAGTGCATGATTTAGGAAGGACAGTCTAGAAATGATTATTTAAGTCACAAGGTGTAGCTCTCATGCCTTTTTGTTTAAGTGAGGGCCTGCCCATAGAATCAATGCAGGATTTTCATTCACATCATTTGGAAAGGGAACAAGCATCTTTTCCTTAAACACATACCATTATAGTTACTTGAAAAGTAATTTGGTTGTGTAATAACTTGCATGGTAATAATTCAAAAAATTAGCTTAAAGAACATTAGGTGCTTTTTGGACTGTAATACCTGATAGGTGATGTATGCTACTTGGCATAATCATGGTCAAGCAAACAGCAGTATGAAGGGTAAAGGTGTGCTTTTTTTTTTTTTTTCCAAAATCCTTGAGTTGTTTTCTATTCTTTGCAGATAAACTGTGGCCTTAGATTGTTTGCTGCAAAAAAGTCAACTCTTAAGTGTTTCTTAGGAAGCACACATGGCCCTTCAAAGGAGGGGTGAAAACATGATTAAGTTCTGCTCTCTGGCACTTGGCTTAGTGCAGAAATTGATCCTTAAAAATAATTACTGTTTGCACAATAATAAGTTCAATATGCAGGGGCTTTGTTTTGATAACTGTGAAACAGTTTAAAAGAGACAAAATAAAAAAAGCTGTTTAACATACAGGAACATGATTGTATTTTGTACTAATGAATGAGCCCCATGGGTTCTTTGTTAATAAAAGTGTCAAATCTAAATTGTGCTGTTCATCTCTGGTTTGGTGCTATGTCAAGAAATACCTGTATTCTACCCTACAGATCTCTAATTCTTTTCTGATCTGGGAATTATGCCTTCATCTGTCACTGTTTTAGTTCTCTGAACTATTCATAACCAAGAACTGGAACAAATTGATCAAACAGGGCCTCCTCCCACCCATAGTCATTGTGTAATAGGGGCTCTTACCCGTAAGGATTGAAGGATGTGAGCTCTAATTGGATCTCTCATCTCTCATATTAATCTTAGAGGATATTTCATTGTTTCCTGTTGACAAGATTAGAGCAACAAACTAAAAATAAATACATCAGAGCAGCCTTAGAACCAGAGTGCAGAATGAGTGAAGCAGAGACCCTGCTGCTGTGGGGAAAGAGGTGACAAACTGTGCCTGCCCCATGCTCACCTGAGCCAGGAGTGAGGTGATGAATCCATCAGGGTCCTGCCTCCCAAAGGTTTGAGGAACAACAAACAGCTGATTTCTTTTTCCTGTTTCCATTTTTGAGGGAAGATGGCAGATTTCTTCCTGGAAAAGCATGGTGAAGATGCTGTTCAGGATTGTGGAATCACAGAATAGTTTAGATTGGAAAGGCACCTTAAAGCCCATCCCATCCCAGCTCTGTCATGGGCAGGGACGCCTTCCACTACCCCAGATTGCTCCAAGCCTTTCCAGCCTGGCCTTGGACACTGCCAGGGATCAGCCACAGCTGCTCTGGGCCACCTGTGCCAGGGAGGAATTTCTTGGGCCTATTCAGGCACCAGAAACAGCAGAGGAGTCATGACTCATGAAAAGGAAAATTCAAAACCTCAAATACTGCTCTTAGATTTTTTTTTTCAAAAGCTCTCTTACTAAATGATAGTTAAATGTCTTACCATTAAGTTCACAGTAGCAATTCCATTTCAGCCACTGTTTGCTTTTATAGGGGAGTATTTCAGTTGACAAGCTGTAACTGTCTATTAAAATCTGTTTGGTGTTTAAACAGGTAGTAAAAAGCCAGGCAGAGATAGAGCAGCTCCTGCAGGCTCGTGTTTGCAGCCCTGACCCTTCTGATGTTTGCATGGAAACGCACAGAGTACGTACAGAGCAAGAGAGATCATTTAATCAGCTCCTGGGGCATGCTCCAAATTATCAAAATAGCATGTTCCATGACTTCACCACCCACTTTGGACAGCAAAAGGGAACATCTAACTCAGTTTGTAGAATCTCTGCTATATATATAGCAATAAAAACATGTTGGGAGAGCACAGTTTGCAAACAATGTTGATTTGGAGATAATCAGTTGTTCTACAACTCCTTACAATACCCAGGCATTTGTGCTCTATTTTCTAGTCGAATTCTGCTGATTTTCAGTGCTCTCCTCAGGGTAGTGACTTAGCACAGGGACACAGAGCCCAGCCTTCAGACTGCTGCCTGTTCCAAAGCTGATTATATAATATGTTAACATCAATATGGACAGTCCAGGCTGCTGCACAAAGTAAATTCTCCAAAGCACTAATTAGGTCTAGGATGAACCCAGTCCACTTTTAGTATTAACATTTTATATATGGCATAGACAAGGTGACAGTCTTGTTCCAGATTATGTTGTCATTATTTCTAAGCAATTAATAGGAAATCACAGTACAGAAAAGCTCTGCTAGAATATCACTGCATTACTGACATTTTAAGACAAATGACTAATAATAATTTTAAGTCAAAAAACTGTGAAAGGTGGTTTTATGTGGAATAGAAAATGATAACTCAGGTGAGAGTTCACTGGAGTGGCTGCTCATGCCAGAAACATGCTGTGGGCCTTCCTAGCTACAGATTCAGCTGTGCTGCTGATAGATCTCCAAACATCCATCCCTTCAAAAGAAGAGAGATCCTTCTTAGTTTTGGCTGACATTCAGCCACCTGGCTGCCTGTAAGGTGAGGAGAAAAATGAAAGCCAGGGTGAAAGTTGGAGCAAGTCGGCTAAACCCAGCCAATTTTTGGCAATGAAAAACTCTGGTTTTTACAGCACCTTGTAACAGCATCAGCCTCCCCATAAATGAGGCACTGGGCATTGACAGAGATGAGAACAGAAGTAAGATTTTGACTGCAAGGTCTTAAAGAAGATTGTTGCACACCCAGAAAGATTCCAGTTCTCTGTATAGGCCAGTCCTGTTTGATGTCATGTCTAGAATCAGGTTGTGTTGGTCACAACATACCAGACCCCAGCTGGAGGAGAAAGTGATTCTTATTGCTGAACTAATTATACTAATCAATGCATAAAAGAGAGCACAAGTGACAAAAGTTACAATGTCATTTAAATCTATTAAGGCCTGAAGTGCTTTTCTCCTACGTCTTGATGTGATGTGACCAATTCAGTAGCCTTAACAAATTAGAAAGATACTAAAGGAAATATTTTGCTATCCTGAGTGTAAAATGAAAGCAGAAAGAGAAAAGCATTGACTGACCTGACAGATTCTCCTTCTGCAGTAGCCTGGAGGAGATGTGGCTGAGAGGGTTTGTGTCCACACAGTCTGATCAAGTTCTGCACTCTGTGCCCCAGAAGTGGCATTTTGGTGTGAGCACAACTCTCCCTCACTCAGATCCTGGAGCCTGGAGGTGGCCTCATCCATCGGTACCTGCCCTGCACAGACACAAGGGACAGATAACAGCACCAGGAGCAAGATGAGAAAGGCTGGAATTCAGGGAGCCCTCCCAAGCTGCAGCCAGACCTTCTCCCACATCCCGGGCTGGAGCAGCTGTGCTGTCACCTGCAAGGATGGCAGTGACACAAGGAGCTGCTCCAGCCCCACCTGGGAGTCTCACACTTCGGGGGCAGAGAGCTGGAGATGTCTGTTAGCAGAGGTGTGAAATAAAAGTCCCCAGGAAGGGCAGCTTTGCAGGCTTTCCCTCATGTGATCCCACCTGCCATCGCTGCGAGAGGACTCTACACTCATCCAAACAAATTAACAATTCATTTCCAGCCCTGACACGAAGATTAACCCTGCCAATTAATTCCTTAATCTCTTGCTGCTGACAAGGCTCACAGTTGCCGTGTGGATGCCTGTCCACTGGGGCCTGGAGCAGGGCCATTCTGTTTAATTAATGCTGCATCCAGGAGACGCTGGAGCTGATGCTCCAACGGATTCCAGCAACACAAACCAGAGCTGCAGCTCGCACACCCCCCTGTGCTCAGCACCTCCACAAGGGCACACCCCACCCCAGTGCCTGTGGCAGATCCTACTGCATAAAGAGGGCACTTTAACCAATCCAGAGACATTTAGCTGTGATTTACTTGTAAAAAAATTCTTCTTGATATCATCTCCACAACAGATGTGAACAGAATTTTGCATGTTTCCAGTAGCAGCAGGAAAAAACAACCCACAGAAGTGTGTCATCTCCTTCCTCCTTCCTCAGCCAGCTGACAAATGTTGGGTTTGGGCTTGGGGCTGCAGGGAGGAGGAGCAGCCACGCTGAGGCTGCTTCAGAGGGAGAGGCTGGATGAGAACTGAGCTGACACGAGTTTGGAAACGTGTGGAGTACAGTAAAAAGGAAAAGCAATGCTCAGTCACCTCAGGGAATCTTTGTAAACCAGCTGTAACAAATTGGGTCAATTTTCCTTTGTTTCTATAGGTTTTGCCATATATAATTAAACAGACACTGCCCATTAAGGTGCTTTACAAAGTGAACTAATACTCAATAAAATCTATGAATAATATTAAATTAAAGACTAAAACCTCTGGACATATAAACCAGGAAACTGCAGGTGTATAAACTAAGCAAGCAACAAAACCCCCATAATTTAGTGCCTGTTACAACTAGTCCAGTGGGTGGAACAAGTGAAGGGATCCCAGAACTGCAGGGAACACATGGATTGTATAAACCCACACGTAAATGGTGTTTACAGAGAAGGATGAGGAAGGAGGCAGGATGATACACTGGACAGGACACTCTGCTCCACACTGAAGTTGGGTAATGTCTGCCTTGGGGTTTTGTTGTTATTGTTGTTGTTTTTCACGGATTTGGGCTCAGTGCTCAATCATACATTGAACTCCCTTCACCCAGCGAGGGTCAGGGTCACCCCCTTTGCAATAGCCGGAGAGACAGAGGCAAGAAAAGCCTGGATTGTCCTGCAGCCCACCTGCTCCTGAGAGAGCAGAATAAACATCTGCTGTTGGGGAGTTACGAAAGGGGAAACAACTTTCAATGCAAAAATTGCATCTACCTGATTGGAACAAGCTGTGCAGGTACCTGTAACTGGTCACACTGCAGAGGTGTTGCCTTCAGTACATCCTTTTTTAAGGTGTGCAGCAAAGCCAAGAGCAGCTTGAGGGCTGGAGAGCTCAGTATTTCTGCAGTGCAGGTGATTTTTGCATACACCGTGTGTGCCGTGTCACTGGAGAACCAGCTCATCGTGTCCCCAGGGTTTGTTTCCATGGGACTTGACACAAGGACAAAAACCTCATGGGCTCATGACATGGCATTTTGTGCAGGAACCTTAAGCTGTCCTTGTTGATTCTTCTCAGCATTTCCTTCGTGAGGTCAGCTGGTACCAATCCTCAGCAGGGTTTGGGGCCCTGGGCACACGTGGCTCCCACAGGTGTGTGTGGCCAGGGGTTCATTTGCTGCTCTCTGCAGGATGATTTGGCAATTCCTTGTTTTCTGGAGTTGTCACACTGTCTTCTAGGAGCTCCTGCTATAAATAGGTCTTGGGTGGATGCCAGGGATGTGTTTTTTCTAGGCAGAAGCCCAAACCTAGGAGTGAAACATTGACTATCAAACATGGCACACCAGGACAAGGACAGAGAGAGGGGATCTGCTGGTTGTGCATTGTGCGCACATTGTGTGCATTGCTTAGAGCAACACCCTTCCCTCTTGCACTCAAGTAATTTCTCTTTCTTAAAGTCATTTATGAAATGCAACTTTCTGCAATCCACACCAAACACTCTGAGCAGTGCTCAAGCCATTCACAGATAATTTGCCCCCATGCTCAGCTGAGCCATTCTGTCACCTCCTGATGCATTTGGCACATCACAGGCTGAATCCTCCCTCAGCCCCACTCCAACCCCTGCCTCAGGCCAGTCCAAAGCAGAGAATTTCCATGAGGACTCAGCCTCCCCCTTCTGCTCAGATAGGCTTCACCCAGCAATCACTTGCATCTCCTGTTTGATCCCAGCCAAACTGTCCTAAGGGGATCTGGAACATCACTTGGGATCCAGGCATGTTGGGAAAATGACTTCAAGGCTGTTTAGAGAGGTTCCCATGCCTACAACAGTTCAAGGGGATCCCCATCTCTGCCTGCAACACTCACTGTTAAACACATGCTGCCAGAACATTTTCCTTTGAGGAGGGAAAAGCACGACAGAGAATGCCTGACATGGAGTTCAACATCAGCCTTGGCATGTTTTAATGTAATGCAGGACGGAAATCCAGGATGGACCAGGCTTGGTTGTTTACCATCCCCTCTTTCTCTCCCCCACCCACGCTCTCCATCCATTACAGTGGTGCCACTTTTCCCAGGCCTCAGCCATCACCCACAGGCCTGAGCAGGCAGGGATTCCTCCCACTCCTTCTACTGCACCCTAACTGCTCCCTCCTTCCCAGACAAGGGCACGCCAATCACTGTTATCTTGGCTGCATCACAGCTCCAATCCCTGAGCAAAGAGGAGCTGTTCTATCCCCAGAGCTCACTGTTCAACCCTTCCCTGCCCCTCACGCCCAATTCACAGGGATCCTCCAATCCCTGCCAGGGCAGGGGGTAGCAGAGGAGGGCAGGGAACAGGGCTTTGCTGTGCTCTTGCTGTCACAGCTCTCCGTGCCAGCTGAGCTCCTGTGAGCTGAGCAATGGAACCATCAAGGCTGTGCCCCAGCCCTGCTGTGCTGATCCTGCCATGGCTGGCACGTGTTCCTGGCTCTCTGGCTGGCAGGGCTCTGGGAGGCACTCTGGGATGCCAGGAGATGCCCCTGCTTGGTGAGCCTCCATTCCAGGAGGAGCAGCCCAGCCCTGCTGTGCTGATCCTGCCATGGCTGGCACGTGTTCCTGGCTCTCTGGCTGGCAGGGCTCTGGGATGCACTCTGGGATGCCAGGAGATGCCCCTGCTTGGTGAGCCACCATTCCAGGAGGAGCAGGGCAGCTCTCCTGCCCGGGGTCTGGCACCATGACACGGCTCACACACCACGGGCCTGCTCCTGTGCCAGCGCCTGTTTGAATAATGGCATTTTCATCCTGGCACCTGCAGAGATGTTTGCAATTTGCTGTCTTGCACCTCAGTGTTTTAATTGATCTCACAGCCTGAGATTTTCCTAAAATATTCAGTGGTTTCATGGCCTTGCTTTGCCTTCAATAGACTGCAGTGTACAGTGATGTGTCACTTGTTCTCTTGGTGATCTTGGCCTTTCCGGGCTCTGGAAATCCAGATGCTGGCTTTCCTGCCCTCATCCCTTGGCATCCCCCTTTTCCTGTTCTCATCTCTTGGCAATGAAATGAAACCAATTTGCAAGAAAATCTACTGCAGACATTGTTGTCTTCAGCTGAGTGGAAACTCCCAGATGTTTTTGCTGCTGCTGGCTTAGGAACATTTGTGGTTTCTGGCATGTCCTTGACAGGTACGAAACCTGTACAACTGCTGAGTCATGAGCTGCACAGGGAGTGACACAACACACCCCACAGCCAACTTCCAGAGGTGGCCTTTGGCTGAAAATTCCCTGGGAGGAGGCAGAGATGAGCACCAAAAGCATCTGTGGGGATGGCGTGGGCTCCGGGCCAGCGGCAGCCGGGAAGAGGTGGCCCCAACCAGAAAGGGGCGTGTGGCTGCCACAGCCTCATGGAGGATTAGGCAAAGCTCCTGGGCAGGACAGCTCACTTGGAATCCTGCTCCTTCTCTGAGTGATGGCTGTGACGGGGGTGAATGGTGTCACACCTGCCTGAGAGCCAGCAGCAGAGACAACTCTCACTCCTACCTACCCAAAACACACACGTGGCATCCCGTCCTCTCACCCCATGCACCCCAGGGCATTTCTGGCAGATTTTAAAGGAATGTAATTACAAACACTATGAAGAAAAAAGGGTGAGAAAACATTTAGTCTCCATCAAGGACACACTTGGAAGGAATTTGTTTTTCTGCATCAATTCTCTGATAGCCAAAGGATTCACTTTTTGGAAAGCATCCAAAATCCACAGCTGGAAGTCTGAGTTGCTTCTCTCTGTCTTTTAAAGCAGAAGGGAAGGAATGGCTCTGGAGAGACCCTGCCACTGCTGGGCAGCAAGGAAACACTCTCCAACAGGGCAGCTCCAGTTTGGAGAGGCACATCTAAGACACTGCACTGAATGAGCCAGGCTGTAAAGTATGGAGGGGCAAACAAAACCATCATCACCACACACAGACCTCATGGCCACAGTGATCTCTACTGAGGGACCACAAGGACACGGTGCAGTTTGCTTTAGGATAAACAGGCAGCCCAGTACATTTATCCAGGGTTACTCATGCCAATAGCAGCCACAGCCTATTGTAACATTACCAGAATTCATTAGGTGCTTCCCTGCCATCCATATGAGTAATAATAATAACAACGATTAATACTTCACACATGAACAAGTTAATCCTGCTCTTTTAAAAGCAAAAATATTGCTGCCCTTATTTTAAGGGTGGGAACCTGAGATAAGCAAGGAGGGTGACCTAATCATTGTTATTCTGTGGAGTACACGATCACTTACGGTGTTTTGGCACCTGATTCACTTAGGTAATTATTTTTGTGATCCACCCATAAGTAGAACAACAGCCACAAAGGTTTGGAAATGGAGAACAGACCATGCTGCTTTGGAGGATACTGGATACTCTTCTCATTACCTCTAACTGGAGGCAACAGATACAGGAGTTTTGGGGAAGAAAAGCAGGATATGATGGAGGAATACTCCCTGCTTAGACCTTGGCTCCAGACCTAGTGAGCATCACAAGATTCATGCACATTCTCACTCTACCCCAAAACTCTTGGTGTCAGGGACAGGCACAAAAAGGGGATAAAGATTTTAACATCTGTCTGGAATTCAGCCATGGCTGGATTCAGCATGATGTAGAAAGGACAGAGGGTCACCCACCTCTGTGCCCACAACCAGCATGAGAAAACATTTCCCACCAGGCAGAGTCAAAGCTGTAGTTGCCAATCACTCTGTACTTCCAATAAGCTTGTCCTGGAAAACTCTCCAAATGTTACTGACCCATCAGTCTTTATCACATCCTGCTCTTTGTGCTGAATTCACCAAGCACACAAACCTGCTCCCACTTTACCTACCTCATAGCTGTTTATTTCAGATAGCAGAAACTTCTGCTTTTAGCTTCAAACACTCAATCCCTTTATAAGAATAAAATATTTAAGCCTTTATATCAAAATCTCCAAACACTCCATAAGCACTACAGTAATCCCCATAATACATATCCATCCTGCAGTCAGCCTCCAATCTGTACTCATCAGAGCAGTTTTCCTGGGGGATTCAGGAGTCAGTGGACTCCTAAATCCCTGCCTTGCTCTCTAACACCAGAGGTGACAGGGGACAGGCCAGGAGCTGCAATAGTTTCTGTGCATTCAAGGAACCATTTTCACCCTGTGCCTACATCAGGCACATTTCAGGAACACTGGAAGCTTCCAAGCTGGAGGAAATCTCAGTGGAGGAGGCACTCAGAAAGCTTGTGACTTAAACCAGCTTACTCCTGACCCTGCTGGAATGGCCCCCCTCACCACCAGAGCAGCAGGATGCAGCTCACAGGGACATTTCTCTCACTTGTCGTTTCATCCTCATGCTAAACCCAGCCCTCCTCAAATGTGCCCTGTTTCCAGCTGGGATAGAGTTAATTTTCTTGTTATTAGCTGGTACAGTGCTGTGTTTTGGATTTAGCATGGGAATAATGTAGATAACACCCTGATGTTTTAATTGTTACTTACAAATGCTTACCCCAAATCAAGGACTTTCAGTTTCCCATGCTCTGTGCATGAAGCAGGTGCACAAGAAACTGGGGGGAAGAGAAGTGACCAAAGGGATATTCTGTACTAGAGAATCTCAGAGAATCCATAAAACTGGGGGGAGTGGGTTGGGAGATGCTTGGGGACAGGCTGGGCATCAGTCAGCGCATGGTGCTCAATTGTGTTGGATTTTACTCCTCTCTCTCTCCTTGTACTTACAAATTACTATTATTACAATTAGCAATTACTATTGTTACAATCAGCATGAATATATTACATTTTATTTCACTTAATAAATTCTTATCTCAACCCACAAGTTTCACTTTTCTTTCTGATGCTCCTCCCCACCAAGAGGATGAGCAAGGGGATGTGCTGTACTTTGCTGCCAGCTGGGGCTAAACCATGGCAAAAGGTGACAGCAGAAACCTGTGATGGTGGTGCACGTCAGAGAGAGACATTGAACAGTTCCTGGGAACATCCAGCCTGTCCCAGAGTGCACCTTTTCCCACTGCCACCTCTGCCTGGGGGCAGGCACAGCTGCTGCTCAGTTTATCTAAACTGGTGGCACAGGCAGCAGAACAACTGACTCGTGCTTATGCTGCTCTGGGATTTGTGCAATTGTACCCAGCAGTTTCCAAAGCTTTGGGATTTTGCAAAAACAGTTTGCAAAGCAGCAAGAGGCCTTTGAGAATTGCAGCCCTTGAAAAATCAGCTCAACCACATCGCTGTTACTTGCTGGCAAAAAAATCAAAACGTCACCTCGGTCACATGCAGGACTGTGGAAAAAGGGGCTGTTTTCT